GAAATCTAAGGGATGTCGGCGTGCATGCTATTGGGCCCTGAACGGTGCTGATTTTACACTCTTTTCAATGGGGCTTGAATTGGTGGACTGGACCCGTAATAGGCTGTTGTATGCTGTGCATTTCTGGTCACATAACCTTTTTCTCATGGCTAGCCCTCGGCCTCCCTCCCGAAAACAAGCCCAAAATGAACAGAAAATGCAAGAAAATCATTTCCGGAAATAAGTGACCATTTTCTTTTTAACCAACCCACTCGAAAGCGATAATGTCAACCTGTTTTTGTGTGTTCATGTTTTTAATTCATTTTTTAAACACCTATTGTCTAAAGTCTCGCTTTAGCAATATTTTCACTTTGGGTCGGTTCAATCGTGATATGTTCAGTGTATAAAACTTTGAGAATTCCACCAGGACATGCAATAGGTTTTGTCAGTAAATATGATGTCCAAACTGTCTATGTGTGTTTTTCCGTCTGGTTTCGATAAGCCAACCCTGAAAAAAAACATCAACAAAATGATTTTAATTTTTCCGCACTCTCAGGAAAAAATTTACTAAATAATATTCATTCATATATTGAGTAAATTTTATTGAAAACTGACATGCGGCATGCGGAAGTGTAAGAATCTTTTCTGTGAGCACAAAGTGAGTGCAGTTTTAAATGAGCGACAAACTAACTTACTGCCGTTTTTAAAACAGACACTTATTAATCAGCTTAAAAAGAAGAGTTCACAACCTCAACATAAAGATTTACATTTAACAACTACTTTCCGGCATAAAAAAGTCACTTGAGAACAAATAATTTTGTTATGTAGACTAAGTTTCTTTCATTGCGTTTACTTTGAATTCCTTGTTTATAACTTCATTCAACAGAAACGTCAGCACTCTGCTTCTCACTTTGGTTTCATCTCTGCCCTGAAGAATTCTGTCACTCATATCACATCGTCTATTACACAATTTGGGTTCAGTGCGTCTACCGATAAACACAACTTGAATCCTAAAAATATGGAAGGGCTGCGTAGCACCGTGATCAGAATAACGACAAGAATATAATATCAAATCAGTGCTCATAAATATGTGATTGCCGAGCTTTCGGTAACTATCTTCTTCAGGGCAAGCAGATTCAGTTCTGAATGGACGCAGAAAAATCCACGTTCCTCCCCCCTGGTGCGTTCCAAGTTCGAACATGACGCGCTGCTCCAGTTCCTTACGCTGTACATCAGATGACGCTTTCCGCAGGATGCAGACGCTTACGTCACCGAGGGTATGTGGCGGCGCGCAAAAGTGCTGCCCAACAGTGAGACCAGGTGTTTGTTGGCGCACACTGCATAAGTGTTGCGCGAAGCGGTAACGAAGGCGACGCTTGGTCTCTCCGATGTACAGTTTACCCCAGCGACTACATGTAATGCAATAAACCACATTACTAGTAATGCATATATGATCCCCGCGTATTCTGTAGCTACCGCGGGGCCGCGGGGGCCGACGACCGACGGGCTGTTAACTATGTAGGGGCAGGTTTTACATCTGGGGCGCTGACAAGGGGAACTGCTGCCTGATTTTGACGGCGAGCTAGACGGAATCCAACCGGGAACGTACAACCATGTCCCCGACAGAACCATCGCGCCTTAACATGCAAATCGGGGGTTCGGCGAAAATGGAAGCTGTGACCGCATCATTTCCGTGTGTACGGAAATGTTTGAGAAGAATATTACGTACCGGGATGTTTCGAGGGTGGTATGTGAGTACGAGGGGGACGCGATCACTTTGCTTGGCCCTGCTGGGTTTCAGAGCCGTTTCGCGCGGAATTGAAGATATGGCGTTGAAGGCAGCGTCTGTGATAACCGGACCGTAACCGCGCTGATGAAAGAAACCTAGCATTTCCTTCCCACGCGCAGAGAATTCCGCATCGCTACTACAAATCCAATGCAGTCGAAGAAACTGAGAGTGAGTTCTTACACTTGAGGGGGTGAGACGATTGGTACTGCTGGTAGCTGTGGGAATCTGTGGGTATGTAATGCACGGTTGTGCCAAGTTTTCCGCGCACAGATCTGGACGCGCACGTCGAGGAAGATAACAGAGTGTTGGGACACATCAGCGCTGTGCTGGTTGAAAAGCATCCGCAAACGCTAAGAAATTCTCAACATCGCCACACGTCCTGGTGATAGCCCCAACTATATCATCGATGTATCGCCGGTACATTAACATGAAAAAATCGGCCCTGTGCAGCGGAGGTTAACGGCTGCACGCCCTGATTCTGGGTCAGCATCTGCTCCTCGATGTGGCCAACAAACACTGTGAGACAGGCATAACTTGGTCCCATCAGTGTGCCCATAGCCACACCACTGGTCTGAATGTAGTGCCAGTGCCCACCATTGAACGCGAAGTTGTTCAATATGAGCACCAACTCAGCCAGACGGAGCACGTGCTAGTAGGAGGATCCCGAGTCTAGCGGAGATCTAGACAGTGTTTGAGCGCAGCCAAACCACCCGCGTGGGGAATGGGTGTGTAAAAGCGATTTCACATCCATGGTGAAAAGAAAGTTGGACGAACCTGGGAATTTGAATTCATCGAACAGACGTAGAGCGTGATTAGTATCCATGACATAGCTGGGGAGCGTTTTGACAATGGGTATTAGCATGGTGTCAAGGAAGTTGGATATCAATTCAGTGGGACAACTACAAGCAGACACGATGGGATGGGGCGGCCTGGATTTGTGAATTTTGGGTAGCAAGTAGAAGGCTGCCGTACGTGGGTTCGGAACGACCAGTTTGGTTGCGTTAGGGGGAGGTCACCAGAGTCGATGAAACTTCGGACAGTGCTGGCAACAATATGTTGATGCTCTTGTGTAAGGTCGCAGTCAATCTTAGCGTAGGAGGCAACGTCAGACAGTTGACATTCCGCTTCAGCGACATACAAGTCCTTACGCCATACGACTGCAGGTCAACTCGCCCCTAGCCTACTCGCCCCTTACCAGCTCTTCCCTTACAACTCGCCTCCTGTCCGACTCGCCCCCTAGCCGACTCGCCCTTTACCAACTTGCCCCAAGCCAACTTGCCCCCTAGCCAACTCGCTCCCTGACCGACTCGCCCCTAGCCAACTCGCCCCCTAAGTTTGTTGAGCACGTATGGCCGGCCCATTCACCGTTTAATAAAAAATACAATCAGTCAGAGATGGAATCGGTGATTGCTGCCCTTAAAAAAAGGTTCTAGGGTCTGCAGCGGGCACTCAAAGTTGAGAATTATGATAGTTAAAATGTTTAAAGTTTAAAGCAGTATGTGTGAGTTAAAATAACTCCCAAAAATATTACAAAAATAAATTTAAACATTTTGGGTCGTTTGTTTGTTGGGGTGTTGGGGTGGTTGGGGTGTTTGTTTGTTTGTTTGTTTGTTTCTTTCTTTACTTCGCAAGCATGTAAAGAAAAGCCGTATCGATTCAAATTTAAAGTTTCGACTAAATCTATCATGGGTCGTGTTGTTCCGGTCATTCAAAGTTCAATGCCACTTGCGCCAGCCCGCTTGCATTGTGTATGGCAGTGGACAAGATTTTTTTCCCCGACTTGTCAGGAGAAAATGGGCGCTGCGCAAGAACGGTAGGTTCTATTTTCACAAGTGGTGTCAAAATGGCCATGGGTTACAGAGCAAACCTACTAAGGCTCGGTTTGACATGCTGTGATAATGGGGGGGATGCTGGAGGGGTAAATTACCCCGGCTCTTTTGGGGTTAAAATCCTTCATGATAAATTTTCCAAACTTTCAGCGGTTTCACTGATGTAATTTTTGAATAATACTTTTCAACCCAATACGGCCGTTTCACAATAGTGCGCCACCAAGAGTTTGCAACCCCAAAATATTTACATAGATATGACTAAAGGTAAAATTNCAGACCAGCGTGACAACAATGACTGGGGATCAAATCTGATGCATCATGACTTTACTTTTATGACCTAACCAAGGTATGATTGCATTGGTGAGTGCAAACTGGATACCAGCAAAAGTCTTCATTAATGTGTGGAAGTTCACAACTTGGACTGGCTCAATAAGCTTTTTGCAAGTTAAATTTGAATAAAATCTGGTACACTGAGTTATCTGATTCCACATAAACATAACGATTTGAATTCCCCAGACTAAAGACACTGTTGCTATACCTTGTGATTTGGGGCAAACTTTTGCATGGCAACTACCATCTCTGGAATTGACTGGTCCCTTTGTGCCTTTCTTATCCATAGACAACAGCGTATCGAGGAAAGGCGTCT